GAGGCTATCAAAATTTGGACTAAAAATGAACATGACTTGAACAAATACAAGAAACCGAACTTGCAATTAAACCTACATGGAACTGGACTCTAAATTGATGATGCAATAAAATGAATAGTTGAATATACAATCAAAATGAAAATATAAAATGCAAATAACAACTCCTGGTCATTCAAACGAATATGAATGAATAAGAAAGGGGAGTTTGCAGTGGACAAATTTCCAAGTGAAGGCACAAAACTCTTAACAACCATCATGAATCACACTAATGAATGATGTATTGATGTATAAAACTTATGTTTATGGGAGGTGTGTGATAGTTGCAGATAAATATAGTGATAAGTTCATGAGTAAAGTATGAAGAATGTGTAGTGAATGTAGTGGCATTCCCACAATCGAGGTGAACCAATATGCACGAGAAAATTGACATTGAGAGCAGCTCACAAACAATCAATAAACTTACAAATGAATACACTAGTCCACTTGCAAGCAACGGTAGTGGACAGGATTGTGAGTGTGAAAGGCTCCCTACAGACATAGATAGGGGAAATGCAATGCATGCAAAACATCATATACGAGCAAGGGAAAAAGATCTGCAACGAATACAAGCATCCACGGTTAGTGACGGAAGACTTGAAATGCACTCAATAGTCCACCCACGGGTGATAACAAGTAACATGCAATAAATGCAAAGACACCCTTACAATCAACAATAATTCAGTGTCAAACAAGTACATTAATCTCTTGCAAGCAAAGGCGGACGATATGCAACGAATACGACACATCCTCCAAAAGCAAGGGAAAAAGAACCGCAATGAATATGAGCACCTACAAACAACTGTAGGAGGCTCGTTATGCACAGCAGTTTGCCTACGAGCTAATGAGGTAGGCCTGTGATAGAGAACATGGGTTTGAAATGCACACAATAACCTCATTCATAAGCAGTGTTGGAAGATGTTGCGTTGAACACAGTTCACATTCATACAACAGCTGACAACTTCTGAATGCCTACTACTTGCCAACAAGTAAAATCAACAGATTTCGGTACTGCACGACAGCTTGCCTGCAAGAAGCAACGAAAAACATGTAGCACAACTCTACCAAATGGTAATTTTGCGCACTTTTCAACAATAGTCATTTGCACAACTAGTTATATTTACACATCTCAAGAACACCCCCTCCTCATGCATTGAAATGTGCACTAATGCATTCACAACATGCATATGCATTATATAAGTGCTTAGGAAAGCATACAAGTGTGTAGTATAGATATACCAAGAGTGCATGTTATCCAAAGTACAAATACAGCATGAATATGCAATAAGTTACATATAGATGTGTTATGCATGTATCTACTCGATATGTGAACACATTGTGAGCACATACCCTGCGAAAATGCATGACGTATTATGTAAACAAATCATCCAGCATGCAAGATATATTGTGTCGTAGCAACACGCAACACAGACATGAAAACACATCATACATTGCATGAAAGCATTTCAAAAATCACACAAATGTATTATGCAAACATACGGGCAATACATGAGGGCATCATACACACATGCAAATGCATGATACGCTACGTTATTACATTAAACCACCACACAACATATCATGCAAACCAAGGTTTAAAATTGCGTAAATAAGCCTCGAGGCGTTTTTCGTCCGTGCGGCGAGGCGGTGTGAGGCGTAAGCCTCACCGACGAAGAATTGCGTAAATGAGAATTTAAGGGTTTTAGCAAGTAAAAAATATTAAGATTCTATCATACAATAAAAACATCTAAATGACAATTAAAATTAGGGGAAAGTAAGAAAATAGATGCGATAAAATCATGTCCCAAAGTACAAAACCACAAAATATTAGTCTATCAAAACTCTCAAAGTATAATTAAGAAAGAACATATATAATCTAATCATGTCCCATCACTAAATGGGTCTTCAAGGGAATCTTCTCACCCCTTCCTCCCTCCTATAAAGTCCAATGTCTTCCAATCAAAACATGCACTCATGAAGAAGTAGACTAACACTAACAACTATTACTAAAGATGATGAATAGAATAATATGCCGGACTGCCAGGGGTCCAAGGGGGTGCTACCCCCTGGCGGGGTTCGACCTAGCTATACCGAGCATGTACCTAGCAGTACCGAGCATGTACTAAGCGGTACCGAGCATGTACCTAGCAGTACCGAGCAAATATCTAGTTATACCGAGCATATACTCAGCGGTACCGAACATATACTGAGCGGTACTGAGCATGTACTGAGCGGTTTTGAGCATATATTTGAGGCGTACGCCTTAGCCAGAATTGCGCAATTGCGCCTCTGAGGCGCGCCTCAGTCCAAGTGAGGCGTACACCTCTGCCAGGAGAGGAATTGCATAAGCCTTGAGGCGGTTTTGGGTCAAATTGCGCAAAGGCGCGCCTTGAGGTGCGCCTCTTATTGCGCAATTTTAAACAGAGATGCAAACACGTTAAATAGTAGCATACATGTATACATGCAAACATATTATAAATATGTTAGCATGTCAGCATGCAGATGCATACATGAGTGTTTATGTGAACACGTAGATATGTCATATACACCCCTTACATTGCATACAAATAGCCACCATATAAATGCATTATGCAAAATACATTGAAAAGCATACACCCGCATGGGCTCCGATGAGCATGATGTATGTGCATATGTGACGTCTGAGAATGTTATGCGGGTCAAAAATGAACTTGAGTTCAAGTATGATCCTTCTCTTTGAACGGACCGAAGTTGAAACAACTTGAACTACTGAATAAATACACGGTCGTAGCATCGACTGGAGTATTTGATCTTATACATTCAAGGTTTATTACAAGAAAGTTTGATTGCTAGAAGCATAAAACTCTTAATTCTCAATATCCGCATGAATGCATGATAACTTACAACATCAGTAATTGAACTCAATCCTCTTCAGCGGCAGACAGAGTTGACATGGTTCAAATGACAGATACACGACTTATTTAAATATCCCCGATGATGGTCGTGTACAATGTTTATCTCAACCGAAGATGACAATACACTTTCAAGTGCCTCCAAATGCTTATTATATATAAATATTTTCAAATGACTACAATGTGACCCTGATTATGACTGTGTTGACATAAAATCTCAATCGAAGGGAACCCCAAACTATTAAAATGCATCCAAATTCCTACGAAAATATAAATATTGTAAAAGTGATTTTAAGATTACCCCGATGATGACCACGTTGAAAGTTGATCTCAACCAGAGGGGTCCCTACTTTTAAAATACTCTCAAATATCAAAATAAACCATGAAGGAGTTTTGATTTCAAAAAAAAATCCAAAACACAAGAATAACCTAAATCTAAATTTTGAAACGAAATCTAATCATCTAAACTTAAATCAAAATTCAACCACCCTCTAGAATAATTTGTTGAGGTAGATAAATTTGAAAATCACTTCAGCTCAGAAAGAGCAAATATACAGTCAAAAATATCACTAAGATTTATTCTCAAACAATCTCTTGCCAGTAAAGACGTGACACATGTCATCTAACTGGTGGTTTCGTCGTCAAATGGCACCACAAGTAAATGGTTATGATCGAGGTCCTCTGATCGGGTGATTTTATCGCAAATGGTACCACTAAATTATGATCATAGTTAGAGCTTGTATGATCTACAACAACTCTAAATCCTTGAGTAATGAATCAATATGGTATAATTGATAGGGCACAAAACCCTTTGTTAGCTAAGATGGATTCAAATGTCCCCTTAGATAAACTTTTACCCCAAGTCTACAAGGTACCCTTGGACAAAGCAACTCATGGTTGCCGACAAGGATCCTTTGGCCAAGTTGGGACGACTACCTTCTCTGACTAAGTAGGCAAAGGACCATGATGACCCAGGACGAAAGAACCATGGGATATTGATAGGGTTCATCATCATTCCCCCCCCCCACCATCCACTTTAAGTGCATGGTGATATAAATTTCAATTTTCAAATATTAAATTCTACAGCTATTATATGTTGGATACTACGTATTTGTTCCACGAATAGCCTTAATCGTTCTCTCTCGTTATCGGGAGGGGTAATTAACTATAGGGGCTTGCGCCTATAGGAAACCTGAACTCAAATCATAAAGTCATCGCAAAATGAGGGCAAAATCTTTAGGTAGTATCTTATCTAAAACCCAATCTTCCTTCTGAAAATTTACCTCGGAACCTAATTCGTTAAAACTCTTCTCGCGGACAAATAAAAAAGGGGCCGCGAAGAGATCGGGGCAAAAAATTTTAGAGCCACGCAATTAAATGCATAAAAATATTAAAAAAAAAAAAAAAAACTAGTGCACCTCTATACACATGCAAACAAAACCAAAAACTTGAACAAAAACATAAATCATAAATGCATATAACAGTACATAAACGCATAGATTGCTATGAACAGGCATCAATAAATACTAATGCACCTATATACTTGAGAAGAAATTCATGCACTAATGCACACAGTGATAGAAGAGAATACATGCTTGTCTAGACATAAAATTTTCATTTATGTTCACGAGTGCATGCGGGTAAAAAGTAAAAATTGCCAGAAGTGCATACAAACGTACATGCATTATGCATACTAGAAAATTTATCAGAAACTACATAAATTGTATATTGTTGCTTGGATGCACACACTAAAAAATATACTTGACATAGGACAACTCGGCATGTAATCCTCTTTAACAAAACCAAACTTCAATCATGCAACTATAAGCCCTCAAATTGGATCCATCATGCAGTTATGGGTCTAATTTAGCAAATAAAATATGATATCAATGATGATTAAATGTAATAATAATCACATGAAGAACAAAACATCAACAAAAACTTTAAAATAACTTGATAAACAAAACAAAAAGTTTAGGTTGCAGAAGTGAAGTACGATAAACCAAAACACTAAACCAAATTTAAATGTAGCATATTGATCTTTGATAAAGATGTTATAGAAATAGAATATACCGCTTTGTATAAGTCATTGATTAGTAGTTTCACATTTAGTCGACGTTCCAGCACCTCCCTCACAACATTCTTCTCATTCTCTTCTCTCAATCTTTCAGCGAGAAGAAAATACCCATCCTTAGCCAAGTCCTCATATGAATTGCCAAAAAACCTAAATCGGTTAGCCCAACGAAACAAATCCCGTGGTGTTATGAAACCATGCTTTCCAGCAAACACTTTACTGCTTTGCCTATGCAACTGCAGATCTTTCATTACCTCAACCATTCTTGAGGCATAACTTGCCGGAATGCAGCATCTTTTCTCTAGAATAGTTGTCAATTCATCATCAGGAATTTCATCAACATGAATCTCCAGAAAACGGTTGCGGAAGGCCCTTGAGAGCATTTTTCGTCCACCATATATAGTTGGAGGATTCTGCGTGGCAAACAGCATAAAGTCTGGATGTGCCGATATTGTTTCTTGTAGTTCAGGCACAAACAATTCTCTATTATCATCTAGAAGCCTATTTAATGCTTCCAATACATCAGATGGAGCAAGATTAAGTTCATCCAAGACAATCCAATATCCCTTCCGAACAGCCTTCAACAGCACACCTTCTTGGAACTGAAGCCTACCATGAGAGTCGGTTATGTATGAACCAAAATATTCCTGGAGATCAGTGTGTTCATGATTGTTGATGCGGACAAATTCATGACCAGTAACTGAAGCTAGATACTGAACAAGACTAGTTTTTCCACTGGATGTGGGTCCCTGCAGAAGAACAGGATACCTCTTAATGTAGAAGGCACGGGCAAGGTTTTTAAGATGCACTTTAACAGTATTTGTAAGAACATAATTTTCCACGAAAGACTTTATCTGGGAAGCATAAAGAGGAGCCAAATCTCCAGAAAAATAACTATTAAAAGGGATATCATGAGGCATGCCACCTGATAACAAGTTCGACAATATCAAGTCGTGCATAATGGCAGCACTGGGGGCATCTAAAAGAGTAAGAAAGAACATGCAAAAGCCATCATAAAGGGCTTTTTTGAATCCAAATCTCTTTTCAGCCATCTTGGTATAATTGAGTGCTCGAGCTAGGGACCGTAAACTGAACTGTGGCTTCTGATTAGCACCATCCTGCAACCTCTCCTCAGATTCCTTCTTCACTGATTTGTAAAACCGAACAATCCTGTTTGACAATTCAGTTGTGGCGTTACCTTCACCCAGGTATTGATTAACAAATAGAATTAGATCATCATCATCAAAAACATCATCAATAAAATATTCAGTAAACCGACTCTTGAATGCAAATGGAAGATCCCTCTTTCCAGCATCAGTGGCAGGATTCATGCAGGCAAATAAACGAAAATCAGGATGACGTTCAACATAATCTACATCACCCCTCTCTGCAAGACACAAAGTACCAAGATCTCCATCAAGGACACCAATAATTCGCTGCAGTGTTTCTGGCGGAGCAAGATTTACTTCATCTAACAAAAGCCACTGCCCACTTTTTAAAGCACTTACAAAAGCACCCTCCACAAATTTAAAAGACATTGCTGAAGAGACACTAATCTTCTTAAGAGCACCGTCAAGCCCCAAAGACAATGACTCCCACTTTTGAACTGTCTCTTCAATCAATGGCCTCTTTCTCTTCGAGCCACAGCCAGATTCTCTTGTTTTAGCCAACAGTTTCTGGACAAAGTGAACCGACTTCTGGCAAGCATGCAGTAATTTTTTCCAGTTCTTTTCTAATATGAATATCTCAAACTGGCGAAGCAGAGCTTCATTATCCTATTCAAAAGAGAGACAAACCTTGTCACAGAAGTCTTCAAAATTGCATTCAAGTAAAATTAAGCGCACATAAATAATGCGTACCTTCTTGGAAAAAGTCTTGCAGAACAACTCCTTGAATTCATGATAAAGAGGCATGCATATTGACTGTGCATCAGTAGGCTTATAGCCACCCAGCAGATCAGCAACATCAGTTTGCTGGCTTAAGTTCTGTGGTATGTCAAGCAATATAGTACAAGAATGAAGAATAAGAGAGACATTCAAGCGCATTAACATTGCACGGGAAAAAGAGCAATGCAATCGTACCAATCTTCAATTGAAATTAATCTCAAGTAAAGCAAAGTAAAATAATTGCCTTCAGTTACTTTATTGGAATGACTCCGAATAGAATCTAATTTCATGTGAGACTAGCGTGGCAGCAGTACAGAATGCAGCAGTCAAAAAGCAGGATTTTTTTCATCAAACTAATTCAACATACACATCATATTTTAATATTTTATATAATGTTTCAAGTAACAAAAGCAAGAAATTTGACAAATACATGCTCTTTCCTACCAAAATAAATTTGCTCTCAATATCATGTTAAAAAAAATAAAACAATGCAGTAATTAATGCAATGCTCAAGGAAAACATAAAATTCATGGATGGCTTATACACAACAACAACAACATCCAACCTTTATCCCACTACGTGGGGTCAACTAAATGAATTATTTTTCTCCATTGTATCCTATTAAGAGTTAAATTCTCATTTAAATCTAATAAAGAAATGTCATTTCTACTATTTTCTAACTTAAGTATTTTTAGGTCTACCTCTATCATTCTAAACATAAGTCAACTCGAATACATCTACTTTCCTAACCGGGTCATCGAAAGGCCGCCATTTTATATGACCAAACCATCCAAGACAACTCACTAATCTTATCTTCCACTAGAGCTACTCCAACCTTTTCACCTATATGCTCATTTCGTGGCCTGCCTCTAATAGTTACACATACAACTAAAATTTACCACATATTAAAAACTTCCATCCATTTAAAAAATGAAATAGCATTCAAATCTATTTCTGAGTGTGATCAAATCATTACCAATTTGACGAAATAAAAAAATACAGGTTGTTTATTTCACTTTTTATATTTGGAAGGGAATTTGACAAGAAGAGATTAATTTTGTAACTAGTCAAGATTTCGATGCTACGTCATAAATTATCTCTGATTTCATTGCACAAAAAAAAAGCAAGGCAAAAATCACATTAGAAGACAGACAAAATTGTATAGAAACTTAGATAAATACTTTGGAAAAATGATAGCATCAAATACTCAAGTGCTTTACCATAACAATCAGAGGGTACCCAAGCATCATAGCCAGATTCTGTACAAGCGTTGTCTTTCCTGTTCCAGTTTCACCTACTAGAAGAACCGGTTCATTGTACTTAACGGAACAAGCTATTCGCTCAAGTGACTGTAGAGCACTACGAATACTAACAAAAGGCTGCCTATCATGAATATCCTGGATACAACAGAAAAATTACAAATATGGAAAAACAGTGAAGTGCATAGAAAACAAAATGGCATAATCCTTAAACACACAATTCTTTTAACACGCTGGAGTGCAACTCGCCCAACTTGAAGGCGTGATAGCCGCATCTGCAACAAAAGAAGAATCATAAACTAAGAATCTTTGGTGAAACAAATCAAAATATGCCACCGTTTTCGGAAAAAAAAAATCATAAAAGCAACCTGAAGGGTTGGCTTGTTTGAAGGGTACAACATTGCCCCTTCAAGAGGAACACTCCATAAGTTAGCAATTTCTCTGATCAACAATGAACGGTTTTCAGACATGGGCAAGAAAGCCGCAAACAAATCAACAGCCTGGTCAAAAGATAGAAAATTATCTTAGTAAAAAGTGAATAGTGAATACCCTCATGGCCAGGACTAGCTATAATTTCCCCTGTAAAGAAAATGAGTGGTAACCTCTTGATAAATATTTTCTGAATCTGATAATGATAAGCCAAAGGCAAACAAGTTAAGAGGCAACGCTGCAATTCTCTTGCACCATTTGAGAAGATCCCTGCCAATATCAAGCAAAGTTGACGAGATAAGTATATAATATCATATGTTGCAGGTAATTAACCAATGCTTACGCATACCTTAAAGAGAATCTATTGAAAGCAGAAGCTGACATGACTCCTATTTGATAAGAAACAACAGAGTTGACCCGCTCAAATGTATCTGATAGCCAAGCCAAATGCCTCATTCAAGAGTGTCGTTATTTGTAAAGCATGCGGTAATTAGCATAACAATAGAAAAGAAAATAGCATACCAACAAGCTGTGAGGATAAGAAGTCTAAAATTGGATATCTTGCATTAATTATATCAATCATATCATCTCTACTGGGAGCCCGAACCATGACTTTCCTCCAAAAGACGCTAAGGGAAAGCCTTCCTAAACAAATGAAGTGATTTAACAAAGTAAGATCCACAAGATTTAAAAGCAAGAATACATATTTGTAATTTTTAAATTTAACATTCTTTATTACACAAGATTCATAAAAGGCAAAAATTTATTCGCTTAAAGCATGATAAGAACTAAGCACTAGAATTTTCCATTCCTTCAATATAAAATACAAAGTATTAAGCATTTTGCACATAACACTAAAAGATCTCTTTATACCAGATATGTATCAGCATAACCAAAACAAAAACAAAAACTATCAAAGACATTGAAAGAAAATTAACTATTACTCTAGGAAAACCACGATCCCTTGTTATGCCTAAACCATTAGGCCATGCACGAGAACAAATAATTAACTTCATAGCATCAAATCCAGATCAATACTTTTATAACAAGATGGAACAAGGTTTTCACCTTTCAAAACAAGAACAACACACGATTTTGGTTCTAAATTATTTTTCCTTTGCCTTCAAATGCATGATCAAGGATGGCCTATCATTTATGCATAACAAAAAATTTATGAATAAAAACTTCAGGTTTTTCTTCGTATGTCCATGCTTATGATGCGTCAAAAGCTTTCATCATGGACGTATTGAAATACAGAAGCATGGATTTCTTTTTTGGGGGAAGCTAAAAAATATCCAAATATAGATAAAGGAGCCTACTAGAGACTTGTGAGGAATGTGATTTCCTTTCCCACACCATACCGGATATAGCATTTGTTGTAAGCATGATTAGCCAGTTCATGCAAAATCCAAAGCAGACTCACATGCAAGTTGTAGACAAAATATTACGCTATCTTAAGGGGAACCTAGGTAAAGGAATTCTCTTCAGAAGAGAATGTGGAATAACCCCAAAAGCATATACTGAAGCAAATTATGCATGATCACAAGTAGATAGACAATCTACCTCAGGATACTGCACATTCCTCAGAGGAAACCTTATTACATGGAGAAGAAAGAAACAAAATGTGATGACAAAATCTAGTGCAAAAGAAGAATACAGAGCTATGGCCTTAGGAATATGTGGAATATGTGAGCTAATGTTGATCAAAATAATTCTAAAAGACCTAAGGATCAAGTGGGAAAGACTCATGAAGCTATACTGTGATAACAAATTAACAATCAGCATAGCTCACAATCTAATTCAACATGATAGGACCAAGCACATAGAAGTGGACAGACATTTCATAAAGGATAATTTAGACAGTGGTCTTATATGTATAGATCATGTATCATCAAAAGACCAGCTTGCAGATATTCTTAACAAGGGACTCGATAACTCTACTTTTCTGGGACTGATTACCAAGCTGGGAATGACAGATCTGTATTCCCCAGCTTGAGGGGGAGTTTTAAATCCTAGCCGTCGCTTGACATTTTGATCTCACGGCTAGGATGGGAATTCATAAGAGGCTCGCCTATTAAATCCTATCTGTCCTTTGGCATTTTGATCCCACGGCTAAAATGGGAATCGGTGGGAAGCTCACTTGGATCACACTGATCTCCTTCTATATTTAGATGGTTGATTTATGAAGGATTATATTAGAGAAATTATACATTATTCTATAATTATTTATTTCTTTATTATGATATCTTGTAAAGATCTATAAATAGGGGTAAGTTTGTGCAATAAAATTAAGCCTTTCCCCTCTCCAATTCTCTGAATTTAACACTAACAAATTCAATTTCTATGATAACCCACACAAAGCAAAACCCGTCCAAAATCACCAAAATTCGACAATAATTAATCCTTGTGAGTATTATTATTTGAAGGCAATTTAATAGGATGATTGAGATATTCTATAAAGATATCACAAAATTCCCTCAATGCATTGAATTAAGAAGATTCGTAAATTTCCCCTATAGCAAGACACAAAAATAAATTAATAAGTTATTATTTCCAAGGATTTGCATTAATACATCATTTAAAAAATTTAAGAAAATGCTAGAAAATTTCTCAATGATGCAATCAAATATTGTTAAACCAAGATGTTTATTAATACAACATAATGCAGCTGAAAAGCACCTCTAATAAATGAAATGCAAATTGACAATAATTGCATATAGTGCAAATAAATGTTCAACACATAAACATTAAAAAAACCAATATCATCGTTATATAAACTATCTTATCTTTCATTCAAATGAAATCCAAGAAAAAGCATGTGTTATTTGGAATGCATAAACTTCATTAAAAAAATTAACATGAAAATTTTCACAAAGGAAACATACTAAACATTATTTATATCTACCTTCAGTTGTTTGACGAAATTCATGTGTTGAGGTTGATATTGTACCAAACAAACGAAATCTTTCTGAAACGCTTATCACCTACAAGATTAACAAATAAAAATGGAAATCAATTATGTGTGTGTGTGAATATATATATATATATAGAGAGAGAGAGAGAGAGAGAGAAATAGTGAAAGATAGAACCATTAGAAAACTCCATCAGCCTTAACTCCCACTGGCCTGCGTGAGTTACCACTGATGAGAACATTTCAATGATTCAAAGTTCGTGAGAAAACAGAGAGGCTGTAAAATCAGAAAAATAGAGGGAAGAAAACTAGAAAACGTTAATGATTTTCATTGTTGTATGCATGTGTATGAAGTGATTGTTTATATAGGCTTTGTCATAGATCATTCATAAGAAAATTAATCAAAGCAAACTTTATAATAGGTAAAAAGGAAAGAATAAACTCAATAGCGCCAGCAACAGTTAAAACCCACAAATCAGTGGAGACCAGGGCATTAATCCATGTCATAGTGACAGTTAAATCTGATTGTTGCAAGGATAACTAGCTGTAGGAACCAACAGCTACTATTCTAACCAGGAATTATGATTGAGGGGACCACAATAGGGCTGATTCCTGCATCAGGGAGAACCCTCAAGCTAAGCAAGAAGATCTTGCGTGTGGAAAGCTCGATAACAAATGCTGGTCTATTTTAAAAATAAAAAGGGAAAATCCCATATCTACAGCCCCCTCATCCCATCACATGACCCCACCCCCCAAAAAAAATTTGAGAATATATATATATATATAATAAACTTGTAAATTCTCCTTGTTGTCTCACCTCACCCTGTCGTTGTCGTCACTAATTCACACACAAAGGTATAGAAAAGCTCTCAAATTTCTGATTGCATCACATTTGAAACAACAAGCAGGACTCATGTGCGCTTCTCCAAGCACAGCAGGGAGAGAAGTATGTTAAGAGCGTTGATTGTACCATGTTGGTTAAAGGGAAGGGTAGGAGCAGAGTTTGCAACAATACTCCTCCATATCAACATCATCATTATGCCCATGTGCATCATCATCCCAATCATCTTGGTGTTCAATTGAGAGATTTATTTCTCATTTGCAATCAATTGCCTTTTTATATGCATTAGTGCCTCTACTAACGCCATCGTGTAAGCAAAAAAAGGATTCTCCTCCCATTCCTTTAACTAGTTCATCTCCTGAGGAACCTAGATTTCTACTTGATCATTCTATGTGCCTGATCTTTAGGAGGGATAGCAGTTCCAGTGGTAGAGAGCCATCATCCATCTTTGTGGTGACGGGGGGGGCATTGTTATGCCACACCATATAGACCACTTAAACCTTCATGATCTCGTCCTCTACTTCTTCTTATACCCAACTCTCCGACCAACGTTTCTACTGGATCTCAATTTCATCATATGGGATAAAGAGTTCCTCGATCAAGGGATTGAGGTTTAAATTGGCCCCTTTTGAAGAAAGTGAAATTTGCTAACAATAAGATCACTTGGAGGATTCTACCTGGTGTTGAACATCATGGACGATGTCAGTGGGATCTCATTCAAAGAATATTCTTGATAACCCTTAGCAAAGGTAGATTTGTCAGAAAAAAAACACTAGGCGTTCTCAATATTTTTTTTCTTCTAGATACATTGGCCATCATATCTGCTTTCCTTCTCACCGCGAACATTCGGCGACTATTCTTAGAAACGGGGTCCAAGAATCATGCCCCAATGTTCACCTCGCAAAGCCTTCTTAAACTCTTTCTACCATCACAATAGATGATAGTCAACTAGCAAGAGCCTTTCTTGCCTCGATAATAACTGAGTTTTGTGCTTCTTCATTAAGCCCTTCTTCTTAACAATTTTGAGGACTCTGTGCACTATGGAGTTTAGAGTTTCAAGCTTTTTCTTTTATGGGGAAGCCCAAAAAAATGTTTCAAACACCAGCATAGTTATTCATCTTTGGCCATTTAAATTTGTTAATTTATTCCGAGAAGAAAGGCTTGCTTTCAGCTATGGGTTCTGTGGCACCGCAAGCTGCTCTGGTAGCAGTTGTTAAGCTTGCAACTCAATGTTACACCTTCTCTGTCTCCTGGGGAGATGCTATCTAGATGAGGAAGCTTCAACAAGATGCCTTATTAAGTGTGAATAACACAATTGGCAGCATGATAGCGCAAGCAGCTGTGATAAAGACCTTCTGAACAGTGAGAACTCTCTTTATAGTTACGACGATCTCATTAGAAATCTTTCGAAAACAAAGATCCTATTTCGATGAGGGACTTCCATAGAAGTTGCGGCTTCAATACATTGCATTCATTGTACCGACAGGTGTGCATATCATGTAGATGCTTCAACAGAGAGAGGCCTCTAAGCAAACCTTTGGATCGTCATGTCGAAAACAGGAACTTCAATAACCTCAGCATAAGCAGTACGAATCTATAAGACAAATGAGCATGAAGGCATTTCCAATTTTTGTCTCTCATGTGAGCTCATTGGCCAACAATAGTGACAAGTGCCCTTCCATGGCATCAACTCGCCACCCCACTCCACTACCCTCAAAGCAGCCGACCACTTATGTGCAAGAAGCGACAAAGGAGAGCTCTCGTCCTCCTCACATCCTCTCCAATGGGGAAAGTGCCAACCCCATAGGTAACATTGGAAGCACCTAACAGAGAATTGCCATAGCAGCCTTTATGTGAAGAAAAGGAGAATGAGGACAAGCTTGGAGCATGGAACATTGTTAAAACGCGACATAAAGGACACCGCAAAGCCAATAACCATCAAGTTTCTACACCAAAGCCCACTCCTCAAACTGTTGTTTTATCTGCCTCCAAGGTGCAACAGTTGGAGGAGACACCTGACATGATCCTGAGCCTTCAGAAGCAGCAACACCAGAACCTCTCAAGCTCACTTTGCCAAAGAAATTCTTCAGCTTGGGCCCATAGCCACCTCCCCCAGGAAGAGGAAGAAGATATCTACATATTTCACGTGCAAGGATTTGGTCCCCTTAAGTGTTTAATGGTGTGCCTCCTTTCATTGGTTTGTAATGGGTACTTTAAGACTGATAGGCCCATGCCAGAGCACTGGGACACTAATCAGCCCTTGTGGTTGTTTCAAAACCCTTCTTGGTGTTAAATTTTTTTAAATTCGGGTTCCCCCCCCCCCCCCCCCCCTATCTCTCTTTCTCTACAAACTCATGAAGAAACCCACCATTCCACTTGAGGGGGTCCTTTTGTTTCTTTTTACATGTTCCTTTCTCTGTAGCTGTGTATGGGTTGGAACTCATCTTGGATGCTCTTCACTCTTTTGTTTTTTCATCTTTGGGAAGACTTTATTTTATCCCATGCCAGATTGTATTTTCTTTTGTACTTTTCTTTATATTTTAATGCGTAATGCACACTTTCAAGAAACCCAAAAACTTTGGGGGTTTTTTCATTATATTTAAATGCATAAATCACTCTAGAGAGAGAAATTGATGACAAGAAATGAAAAAACCCCCCAAAGTTTAGCAGGCTACTCTTTCAAATTAGGCATATTTCTGACCAAAGCAAGGCATCCAACAATATTTTACAGAACTTTGCACCGCAAAACTTTTAAAATCATTTCACAAGTGATAACACCAAGCATCTGCATAATCTTTCAAGTGGTCAAATTGGAATTCCTACGCCAACAACCAAGTTCCACTTTTAGTGGGGAAACCAATAGATCAAAGAAAAATCATACATGTAAAACACAACATGAAAATGTTCAGCAGTTACGGAAAATCAAAAGCATAAACAGCATAGAAGAAGATAAAACTAGCAAAAGAGCAGACTAAGACCTCGCCATGGCCTGTAACAAACGAACTTGAGCCTTCCAACAAAGGTAATATAATTGACTGTATCTCATTAGGGGCTTTGTCAATGTCTTCAAATACCACCCAAAAGCCACCCAAAAGAGCCTGCCTCAGTTTTAAAGACGTAAGCATAATAATCAATGAACATAATGGTCTTGATGATAAAAGAAACAAAGCAATAATTTACACCTGCGTAAGAGATCCAGGTTGCCATTTGAATTCCCCAGGCTGGTCTGAGCTAACATAACTTCCAATAAGTGATTTGCTATCCATTTGTTCATCCATGTGAATAAATAAAACTGAAAAAAAAAATAGAATAGAAACAAAATCATTTGGCAACTATATTTACATGTAGAGAAAAAAAAAACAAAATAGACTCCCGACTACTTGTGGGGGACTATTTAAGTTCCAAAGTATATAAAAAGTTCGATTTAGCCCCTGCGATTCTTAAACAAAAGCTAAAATATTTCTGCCATTAAAAGCAATGCAAATTGAAGTTAAACTTAATGGATAGCATTAAAAAGGAGGATATTTTAAGAACATACATCTTGAAAATTTTATAGAATCTAATTGATTTTGTATGACGTTTTTTATATTGATTCCATAATAACGAAATGCATTGAGTTTAACTCTTTCATTTCAGAAAATAGAAGTTTTAAATTTTTAAATTAATTTTATAAGAATTATTTTTTTAGAAAGAATAAATTAAGCATTCCAATTGTTTAACTATTTTCATCAATATTATTTAACAATTTGTTATTAAAAATATCATAAAATGATAAAATAATATAATTTATTATTCAAGATAAAATGCAAGATAATTCGGAATTCCATTCAGCTCTTCACTTTGTGATGACAGAAGATAATCTTCGAAGTGAATATACATGTTGCAGGTTGTAAAATCCCGAACTGACATTGCTTGGAGTTGAGAAAGACAAAGGGGACCGTAGGGGTTCATCTCCTAGAGTCGCGAAGAGAAGAACACGAGCAGCAGAAGGAGGCGAGAAGGGTTCGAAAGCAAGGGAGATGAAGGACCAACCGTCGTTTACTTTTTTGCCGCATAGTTGCTTGGTTGTTCTAAGAATATGGGTCGGAATTCTGGACATGAACTCGACCTATTTATTAAGGGTCAACTCGAATTTGAATTTTTTAGGTCGGGCTCGGATCAAGCCACTTTTTGACACCCCAACTTCCAAAGATATCCTATATTTAGGCCTCATCTATCACACTTATGCTAATCCCATAACATTGCCATCAAATTCATCCTTTTATTTTGACTGTTGAACTATGTTAGTTCATATTTAAAGAGTTTGTAGACAAAATCAAACATTTTATATATAGAATTTAAAATAAGCCCGACAAATGGTAAGAGAAATAACTTGGTCTGACTCCAAATATACAAAAATCAAACACCCACATGAAAATTTATTATAAATCTAAAATGATATAGAATGATGATTATGAATAAAACTACCTTTTAATATTTTTTTCAAATTAATTGATTCTTTTCCAAAAATGAATATCATGCTTTCAAGCACCAGAGCAAAGATTAAATGGGTGTAAGCAAGCACACGCTTCAACTCTTACATTCCTAAATGAACATTTTATTATTAAAGTTGATATTGTGTATTTTATAAAGAAGGATATTGCAATTGTAATAATCCGAATTTTTTTTAAAGAAAAATCTGAATTTCAGCGTCGTGTCATGTCAAAGAAGAGAGAGGGAAGAGAGAAAAGATTTTTTTTTTATGGTAAATAACTCAAATCTCATTTTAGTTTTCAATGATTTTGATTATTATATAGATTTTTTGGTAATAAATAGAATTGATTATTTCCTATTGCATTTTGATCGTCACATTTGCATGAGCAAGAAAGGTTGGCTGTTAACACTATAAAATGGGTTGGCTGTTAAAACATAATATCATGTGCATGAGGATGGGCCAGCAGGATTTCCTTTAAAGATGGCTTGTGATGTTATCCCGTTTGTAGCCTGCAACAGATGACAGATTACGCCAACAGGAAGAGAGTGATAACTCTTTATAGATTTAATGAAGCCACCTGTAATGATAATTGATTAATTTGATAAGTGATAATTGATATAATTGGTGACCAACTAAGAATCAGTTGAGGTAAAAGATGTTGAAAACATCACATTAAAGTTGAATATCATGCCTTGGTAAATCATACATTGATGTATGATATTGATAGCACTGATGACATTGACAGATAAATTAATATCATTTACAATATTTGACGCATTGATAATACATAAACAAATGATGCATATGAATAGATAGGACAGATTCTTTAGTGATTTATGAATAATTTTTGCACTGTTGTTTTACTGATTTATTGAATTTTATACCAATTAATGATTTTTATATTCATTGTAATGATTCTCTACTTTTATTATTGATCATTTTTAGTTTTATTGATAATATTTGGTCATTAACAACATTTATTGCTATTGATTATATTAAATTTAGCCTATCATATTAACTCTTTAGTCTTGCATTGAATGTTTTAGTGAGTTTTGGATAACTACTAAGCTTTTGAGATAATTATGTAGATTTTTTAATAATTTCAGGTTAAGGAGTCAGGACCAGTTAGAGTGAGATTGTCAAAGATCATCAGGTTTTATTTAAATTTAGGTTCTATAATTTCTCTTATTATTTTATAGTCAGGAGCTTGTAATAGATTAGTGATTGTAGTGATCTCTTCACTAATGTAAATGACATTTTGGGTAAATAAATAGTAAAATATCTTGAGGTATATGATTGTAGTGATCTCATGTGAGAGATAAAGTGTGGACATGCAACAAACAACTAAAAGTTCGGTAGGAAGAATTACAAACTCTAAAAATCGTAGGAATGAAAATGATGTGGAGATCTTAGAGGGTGAAGGGAGAAAACCCCATATGAAACATTTTCAGAGGGAGGAGAGAGGTGGAAGGTATGGGGAGAGGCGAGAATATGTGGAGCATGAGCAAAGGGGTACTTATTGGGAAAGAAGAGAGGGAGATTACGACCAAAGAGGTGCTAATTTTGAAGTAAAATTGGGGGGGGGGGAATCGAAGAAGAGTTTGAGAACGAACGTGGAAGAGAGGATCGTGATATTAGGGGGACCACCCCCTTGGGGAAGGAGAAATTATAGAGGAATTAGGGGAAATGGGGGAGATCGGAAGGTCTGGAAGCTGAAGATGCCCATCTTTGAGAGGGGGGTGCACACAAGTGGATCTACAATGTAAAGAGATATTTCGCCGTCAACGGTTGATGGAGGAGGAGAGATTGACAGCAGTCGGCCTATATTTGGAAGGAAAGGCATTGGCTTCGTACCAATGGAGAGGACATCAGGCGGCCCATATAAAGTTAGAGGAAGTTCAAAGAGTGCTTATTGGAACGCTTATGAACCGGCAGTGGATGAGACTTTTATGAGCAGTTCTTTGTCCTAATACAGGAAAACTTTGTAGCAGAATATCGCAAGAGATTTGAGTACCTTGCAAGTAGATTGGATTGGCTGCCAGAGAATGTTCTAGAGGGGAATTTCAAGAAGGGGCTCATAGCAAAGATACTAGCAGCAGTTAGGGTCATGAGGCTGCATGACCTGAGAGAGACTATGGAGCTAGCTCAATTGGTGGAGGACCAGAAGTTCCAGGAGAGGGGAGCCAAATGCGGCAGTTCATGTAGCTCATACAAGATGATCACCACATTCTTAACACCTAAGGGGCCTACATCGGGTACCCTTCAAGAGACCCCAAGGGGGAAGCCTGTAGGGGAGGGAAGTGGGGGAAACTTCCAAAAGCTTACGAAGAGAGAGCTGCAAGAAAATAGGGCAAAGAGATTATGCTTCATGTGATGAGAAGTATACTCTGGGGGCACAGGTGCAATAATCGAACTCTTCAGGTTATCACCGTCTGTGATGACGAAGAAGCTGAGGAGGGAGGTGGTAGTGACACCTGAGTAGAGGAGGATGATAAGAAGCATCTAGACATGGTGGAGGTCTCCTTGAACTCAGTGGTAGGATTCACCCCGAGTCATACTATGAAAGTAAATGGAGAAATTGCAAATAGGGAGATGGTAAGACTGCATTTGGACCTGGTTTGAACTCAAAAGAACAATAACTTGGACTAAAATGAACAATGACTTTAGGACCTGAACTTGAACAAAATCTAAATGATGAATAAAAGGTCAAACCCAAATAAAATAAGATCAAACTGGAGCTAAATTCAAATCAATACGAACATGCAATTGAACCTGCAAAGACTTCAGAAGACTTAGAACAAGCACTTGAACATGTACTCTGAACTCAAACTGGGACAAGATGTGGACAACAAGAACTTGTGGAGTTAGATGTGACATAGTGCATACGCACTGGACTTGCAAGTGAACTTGCATATTAAACTCAAGCTGAATTCAAACTTGACATGATCAATAAAGAATCTGAACCTTTAAGAACAACAGGGAACTCAAGGGACTTGAGTTCAAATGAAATACAATCCATAAGAACATATCTGAGTGGAATTGTACTTGAACATAGCAAATAAATATAAAGAACTCAAATGAATGTGACTAAGATGCGACAAATATCTCGTGAGCTAATGTAGGAAGGATATTGCAACATCCTCAAAACCAAAATTGAGGTACAAGCAGGCACACTACAAGACCTCAATGCGTACAAACAAAGAATATAGTGGACTCTTACAACAGTCTCTACGAGATCAGGCGCATCGTACCTCCAAGAACAACAAATGGTTGCATAATGCATCGTACCTAAAATTGGATTTATTTCATTACTTTCCTAACTCATTAAACCAAATTATGAAGCCTTGAATACTCTCATTACACTCTCCTCAAAACCCCTTCCCCTCACCATGCCGCCGGCCCCCTTGGTTGTCCCCTCTCCTTTAATGCTGCATTAAGGGATTTGATTGCATGCTATTTGAATTTCAAATCCAAAATTCAAATTTGCATTAGGAGTTAAATGCCCCCTCAATTTCCTCCCTTTAATTAAGGAATTAATCGTAACTTTAAATCTGAAATTTAATTTCAGATTTAAGGATTAATTCACTTAAGTAATTGGGGCCCACTTATTTGAAATCAAACCCCTCTCCCTCCCTCTCTCTCTAGGTCGTCCCACCCCTCTTTATTTCTCCTTAATTCTTGCCATTATCAATCACCATTCAAGTCTCCAATTAAGTCCAATTTAAAATTTGAATTGGGATTGAATTAATCTATTCCTAATTGAAAATTACTGATTAGGGAAGCAATCAGAATCAGAATTGGAGGAACCGGAATGCGTAATCAAGCCCTTCGTCTATTTCCTCCCTCCCTCCTATTGCCGCTCCCACTTTCCCCTCTCTCTACCCGCCCACCTCCCTCCCCTAGATCTCAGGAGTAATTCCACAGAAGGATAGAACCGCAAGGGAACCATCAATCCATTACCGCTTTCCCTTTCCTCCCACGGATCAAGAGAGCCTGATTTTTTTTTCCTGAACACGGTTGCTGTCCAGAATTCTGGAAGCTGTTAAATTGATGTCCAGCAGTTTTTCTGCAGCTCCACACTAACTGGCCAGCCACAAAATTCAATCCGTTGCTGTCCAGACTTCTCCTAGTTGTTGTTCCGCAGTTCAAGCACTTGACACTTCTTGCTAAGAAGGTTTGGAATGTGAAATTGCTGATCTGGAAGAGGAAAACTGCTGTCCACCATTCTTCTTCAGCCCTTGGAAGACCTCTAGCTGCTGTGTTGGAAGAAGAGTTGCTGTCCAAGACTTCTAAGAGTGAAAAGCTGCTGTTTAAACTTCACGAGTCGCTCTTCAAGACCCATAGGATTGAAAACCTCCTACCCATTCTACATCACCAAATCCCTAGCCGTCAGCTAGAGCCAACTCAACCTAAGCAAAACTAACTCCAGCAAAATCAAACATAAAAACTGAACCCTAGGGTAAACAACTTATCATACAAAACATATCAAATTCCAAAACAGTCCTCCCCTAGTTCCCTCCCAAATTAAATTTCAGATTTAGAGTTGCGATTAATTCCTTAATTAAAAGGAGGAAATTGAGGGGGCATTTAACTCCTAATGCAAATTTGAATTTTGGATTTGAAATTCAAATAGCATGCAATCAAATCCCTTAATGCAGCATTAAAGGAGAGGGGACCACCAAGGGGGCCGGCGGCATGGTGAGGGGGTGTTTTGGGGAGAGTGTAATGAGAGTATTCAAGGCTTCATAATTTGGTTTAATGAGTTAGGAAAGTAATGAAATAAATCCAATTTGAATTTAAAATTCAAATTGATTTAAATTAAATACTTTCCTAAAATAGGCGAACTAATTTAGGAAATAAAATTTGAATTTCAAATTAAGTCCAAATGTCATTCACCCCAAATTAGGAAACTCAAGAAGGAAGAGGGGTGGGTGAAGCCGGCGGCTAGGATGCCATGGCCGGCGGTTGGGAGACTCTTCTGGTGAGGTGGCCGGCAGCTTATGGTGGAAAAGGAGACGACGATGGTGGACGTAGGTAGAGGATGACGATGACGGCTAGGAACAATAAGGAACGAAACAAAAGAAAGAAGAGATAAAAACGAAAGATACACGATAAAAACCGCGAGCCTTGGACTCTTCCAAAGACTGACGGGTGATGCTTTGCCCTTCTCCAAGGGACTTCAAATCACGAGCCCGGACCCATCCTGCGGCTGGTGAAAACTCTGATTCCTCCCTTAGGAATCTCACTAACATTCTCTCATCAGAACACAAGTGTGGAACACAATTTTTTTTTTAATATCAATAATACATCCCTATTACAATAGCTTAAGGCCCTATATATAGGTCACAACATAAGAAAACTCAAAATACAAAATTGCCCCTTGGGCCACAACACTCACATAAACTAACCTAGGGGTTAAACAGGAAATACATTAAATAAGAACTAAAATTCAGAAAAAAAAAACTCATAAATGAAGATTTAAATAATAGCAGTCGATTTACGACGCCTCCTGTGATAGATGCGCCAAATCTTCGTACTGATGTCCGCATCATTTGGGAGAGCCGGATCTTCCTCTCCAATTGAAGATCCAACTGTATCTTGTGTTTTTCTTCTTAGTTTTTTTCAATTTTTAAAAAAAAAATTATTGTGTTCTTCCTAAATTTCTTATGCCATTCTCTGGTTTTGCTGAAATTGCATCCACTTCCTATTATGTTCCTTATAAATAGATATTGTATGCTGAAAAGAATGCAAAAGAAATAAAGTATAAAAATGTTTGTATGATCATATAGTAAAATGAAGTCAACTCCTTTATTGAATTAGTTGGGGCACTAATGTGTGCATGCATTGATAACTTTAACCTTTCTTCCACAAACAATATTAGACGCATAAGCTATGTCTTATTATGCTTACAAGAGGATGTATCCACTACTGATGACTCAGGTGTCTTTCCTCCACATACACTAATAGAATTGTGAGCTATGCCCTATGATACTGATAGGAGATGTATCAGTCGTATCAGCCATAGGTGGTTTACGTTCATGTTCATATGATGCTCCAAATATATATGTACTAAGCATATACACTAAAGAATAAGCTATGATATTAAAAACTTTGGTTCATCCTCAAGTTGTTAAAGCTAAGTTGAATGTTAGGATGTAATAATTTTTTATAAATTTAACTACATTATTATTATTATTATCATGTCTATTAATGATAAGAAATTTCATGTTCTATGAGGGATTCATAAACCCAACCCAAATAATTGAGATAAAGACAACGACAACAATGATGATGATGACGATGATATCATGTTATAAGGAACAAAATTAGAAAAGATTATATCTTTACTCAATTGTCTTGATAATACAAGCACATATGCACCAATATATAGGCAAAAGAAGATAATAAAGGAGAGTATCTTCAATCAGAAAATATAACAATAGTAAATACCGTATATTTCTATTGCAATTAAGAAACATATGTGATACTTAATAAATGGAAACAAATTTTATTGAGTGAAAATACACAAAAAATCTACTTCCACTAATGTGGACTGATATATACGCATAGGCATGCTTTATAACACTAAATTCAACTGATCAAATATCCAATCACCAAGTTAATACTATCATAATAATATATTATATGGGAAAAGTCAATCAACAAATGCTTAAAAAGCATCATAACTATGAAAAAAACATCAAAAATATACCTCTACTTCCACTTTTAAGTGCTAAATCATTAATCAATGCAGTTTTTCCAGAACCAGCAGGGCCATAAAGTAGTACAGGCCATTTTTGACTGGCTGCCATCAAAACCATCTCAAAGCTCCTCTTCACAGCAGTTGTCAAGACAAAATTCCCAGTCAATGGCTTATGTTCACTGCCAATGTGTCAAATCAAGAGGGAAAAACATAAAATTCTTTTTGGCGCGAAAGTAAACAAGACTGAGAGAATTGCAATTTTCAAATTTAAATTGATTTAAACTTCATACCATGAAACCATATTCTCGAGGCTCCTTCGAGAGCCATTATCAAAAGAATATGACCAATCAAAAAAATTAATGTATTGATAATGATTTGATAGTTCATTATTATTGGTTTCATGTGTCACTTCAGCTTCTTTTAGGTACCAACCAGCTTTTTCAAGTGACGTGTCCTGACAATACTCCTGCCAGCTGCAAGTAGGAAATGAAGAAGTTATCATGACAACAAGGTTATCAGAGATATCTTATAAAGGTAAGAACTCCAAAGTAATGTAGGCATGACTAACCGAAGTAAGCACATAAAAGCTTCCTCTGCCCCCATGCCAAGATTAGCAATAATTCTATCACTTGTTCGCATAACAACCGACAATACCTGTATCACACACCACCTAATGTCCAATAAATCATTAAATACTGGATCTGCAGTTTCTATCTGGGGACAGTTAACATGCTGCACCAGATCATAAAAAGCAGACCAATCCCATAGTTCAGAAAAAACTTTGGGGTCCAAGAGCAGCAGCCGATAAGATACGCGAATTATGTCAACAATTCTGATATCAATCTGAAATCAAAACAATAGATGGAATACATAACCATTTACAGATCTAAGAAAAGATGAAACATGCATGCGATAACATTCCGAGAAAAAATAGCCAACTAATGCAATATCAAGACCAATTTCCACAATAATACCAGATTTCTAAAAAGTATTACCATTCTATTCATTTAGAAAGAACATGGCAATATCAAAGAAGCATTCACCATATAAGCAATAACAAATTATATTCGCCCACGGTCTACAAATTTGAGAGAGATTCTCAATCATACAAAAAACCAACCCTTAAGAACAAATAAAGGCTGTATAACAATAAACAATAAGGAATGTGAAAACAATAAACCCGAAAAAATACTCATTTTAAATCTAGGTTGCATTGCGAACCAACATAGCGGCCTAATAGAAATGTCTAACAAATGATGGATGCCATCTTGAGTGCTAATACATTGAACAAAACTTTAGGAGTCTCAAACCAGCCTCGAATAAAATAAATCAGCTGGTTCGACTCAACAGCTGCATAACAATATTAACCATCAGAAAAAATTATCTTTAAACAAATAAAGGTGGTTCACCAGGGAGAAAGAAAAATATGATGTTGCATAACAGAAATCTGAAAAGAAAATAATAATGAAAAACAAAGGGAGGGAAAGAGGAAGGATATAAAAAGTCTAGGTTGTTAAACGAAACAGTTAACAAACAGATTTTTTATGCTGTCAAAGGTAATGGAGTCTAAACGAAGCACAGCAATGTTGATAGTTCATATTCTCTCCACTACAAAGCATAACAAAGAAGCAAAGCACCCACCGTTGGCCATCCAACATAACTTTCAAGCCTAATTGTTTAATTATTAAATTATATTTATTTATGTTGTTGATTATATCAGTTAATGATGCAAGGCCGTTAATGTAAAATAGATTTAAGGGACTCAGGGGCTCAAAATGAAAGAGATGTTTTTTTTTTTTTTTTTGCATTTAAAAATTCCACCAGCTAAGCTAACGATGTGCCACTGATGCGGACATCCAACCGTTCATGGCTATCCGAGGAGCTAAAGATCAACGGCTGTCATCATCCCACGTTATCTTATATTTTATTTGTAATTTTTAAATTTTTATTATGAATTTTCCGTTTTTACCCTCACTTACGAGGGTCGTCCTATGTAAGCCTTAGGGGCATATATGTCTTGTTTTAGTTTCTTAGGCCTATATATAGATGCCTTTCCTTATGTAATGGGATGAGGAATTGTTAATGAAATTTTATTCTACTTGTTTGATCTCTTAGTGAGTTCATGAGAGGAGAAGGATCTCTTTGTGAGTTCCGAGATTCCCAAAATCTCTTTGTGAGTTCTTAAGGAAGTGGAAGGATTTCTTTGTGAGTTCCGAGATTCCAAAGATCTCTTTATGAGTTCCGAGATTCCAAAGATCTCTTTGTGAGTTCTTGAGGAAGTGACGCTTGTAGATCTCTTTGTGAGTTCTATTGGAGGTGTTGCTTGAGGTGTGTAGCTCCGGATTTTCTTTTTCATAAACCCAATTTATTTCTTCACTACCTAACCAAACTCTCTTCCTCTTAAATCCCCTCCACCAGCCCCCATAAGTCCACCGCCGGCCACTCCAGGCCAATCTTGCCACCGGCGGCTCCGTCGGCCTCCTTGGGACGGCCAAGCCACCGGCCTCCCTCTTGGGAATTTCAAATTTGAAATTCAAATTTGTTTCCAAGAGGCATTGAAGACTTTCCTAAAATAGTTCCTTGATTCAAGGCTTTCATATTAATTGGATGTCAATTTGAATTTGAAATTCAAATTAATTCTAATTGATAGCCCCAATATTGGAAACTTTCCTTTTTTCAAAATCTGAATTTTAATTCAGATTTTATTAAATCTTTGATTATTAATGTGGGCCCCACTCTACTTATGACAAATAATCTCCTCCCTCTCTCTATGTGGCCATCCCCCTCATTGGGCATAATCTCTCTCCTATCTCATTAATAGCCCCCTCATTAAGCCTCCCTAATTACCTCCCACAATTCCCTCTCATCCAATTTAATTCTCCTCATTAAATTTGAAATTAAATTCAAATTCATCCCGCTAATTCCACTTAATCTGAAATTTAATTTCAGATTTTCATTCTCTCTCCCCAAATTGATTTGGGATTTAATTAATCTTGCCACCTAGGCAAGTAAATGGCATTTACGTTTCACATCAGCCACGTTTCCTTCTTAGTCATTCAAAGACTTGAGTGAAGCAAGAGCTAGACTCCTCTCTTCCCATATCCCCTTAGCTTTACTACTGGATAGCCACCAACATCATTCATGAACACAAATTTACTATTCCCAGATGGAAACTTACAGCACATATCTTGAGACTCCTCACCATTCTCCTTTAGTGTCTTGAACAACTAGCTTCCCCAAGCTAGATGGAAACTTTAGTGTCTTGCACAACTAGCTCTTATATATATATATATATATATTCACCAATTTGATCTAGTTAGCCTTCTTCTTAAAAAACAGGCAGTCATAATTCATCTGTCCGCATCCCAAGGCATAAGAATTCAAATCTGAAGCCTAAAGAGCATCGATTTAAAAAGTTTCAAATGTGTTATGATTCAGGTATCGATATCAAGAAAAGATTATTTTAATAATATGTTGGTCAGAAAATGTAACGATATTCTTACGTACTTATGAAACTCTAAAAATGAGCTCATCTTCCCCCTGCAAGCCATACCTATCAAAGTAAAAAGTGAGTATTTCACTAATTTAAGTTTATGCATGCACACATTTATGTAAACATGTTTTGTGGAAAGTTCTAATTTTATATTGTAATGAGTGCGTACAGTTCTTTAAAGTCAATTTCAGGGTTGCATACAATTGTTTTCAAGGTTTTTGTGATAAATTCTTCAATTTTTTGGACAGTAACTTGGTCTCGTTTGGACAGCAAATTTGAAGGTTAGGGAGGCGGAACAACAAGGTTATGCCGCGGGAAATTTTGGACAGCAACTCTAAGTGGAATGGTTTCACTTTAGGAGGGAAAAGCGTAGAGGAATAAGGGTCCAATTTGGAGGGGATAGGGGCAAGGAATTTAATTTCAGGTTTTTGAATTTGAATTAAGAGCGAAACAAATTCAAATTGCTGAAATTAATTTCAGCCAAAAGGGGTGGAAGTAATTGGAGAATTGATGGCTGAATTTGGAGAGCTTTAATGGGCATATTAATGAGAAGGTAGAGAGAGAGAAAGGGGGGGGGGGCGGCGGCGGCGACAGCTTGCTTAGGGGAAAGGGGTTCTAGAAGGAGATAAGGCTTGCCCTATTTAGGATCTTGAAATAGAAAAGATTATTTTAAATCAAATCCTATTTAAAATTCAAATAGACATGATTTAATGGGCTTTCCTAAAATAGGGTGGCTTAATTAGGAAATAAAATTCAAATTCAATTTGAATATGAATTAGAATAGTTTCCTAATTTAGAAAGGGTTTTGAATAGTAGATTTTGAAATTTAGGAGCCAAGGGTGGAGTTGGCCGGCAGCTTAGGGAAGAGGGCTTGGGCTAGGGTTGACGACTAGGGTTAGGAGTTGGCGTTGGGGTTTGGGGGTGGCTTAGCCGACGGTGATGCAACCAAAAATTTGAATTGCCAAGAAACAAATCTTCCTTTCATAAAACATAGACATAAACAAAAAATAGAACAAAAGATACTATTATATCCCCCATAAGTTTAAATAAATACAACCACACTTTAAAGTAAAAGACACAGCAATACCATACGACTAATCAAGCCTTACAACTTTTGAGAAGAAAGATACAATGGAATGGTAACTTGTGGAGAGAAGAAATATATTAGAAGTTTTGAGACGAAATAATCGAGGGGAAAGGGAAACAAGGCTAGCTCGCAAGCCAGAACAAAACCCGCATGTTTTCTTTCTCCAAAAATCAGCACATTTCATCCTTTCAAATAACCACAAAAAAGCCTTGTAAATAGAGAAAAAGGAAGCCCAAAAGACACGCAAACAGCCAACCAAAATAAGGGAAAAGGAGGCCAACAGCCAGCCAAAAAGGGAAGAAAAAGGCAGCATTAAAGGCACGGTAGAAGCCCAACCGAACAGTCAGGAATTGGGAAAGCCAAGGGGTAGCAACAGGAATCCAACAGCCAAAGCAAAGGGGAACCGAGAAGCCAAGGAGCCAGAACTGAACAGCCACTGTAAGGGAAACCGGGAAAACCAACAGCAAGTACCGAACAGCCAAGGACAGGAGGAATCGAAAAAGCCAGGCAACAGAAATCAAACATCCAAAGCAAAGGGGGACTTGTTTACATCAGGCGGTTAGGGATGAGGGTGGTCTAGGTGGCCGATGGCTAAGAGGAGGAGGGATTGGGCTTCTTGGGGCCAGCGGCTAGGAGTGGAAGTGGGAGGCCGACGGTTGGAAGAGGGAAGAAGATGATGGTCGGTGACATGTGGGGGAGAGAGGGGAGGAAGGGGAAGGAGGAGGTAGACCACGAATTGGGACGCTTCTTGCTATTGGTGGGTGTTATGTTGCTCTCATTTAGGGTTCTCACCAAAACTCTCTCTCAAAGCTCACAAGAGACAATTTACTGAAATTTCATAATATTCTTCATTAATCATCATAAGCATAGAATGAGGCTATAAATAGTCCCCACATACAATAATAGAACAAAAGATAATAGTGCCCTCAGGGGTCACAAACACCTACTCCCCTCAAGTGAGGGTAAAATCGGAAAGGAAACAACAATAAATCAAGTACAAGTAAAAACTCAAAAATAAAGTGGTATAATCATGATCGTAGTAGATCGTTGACCCCGTCTCTGATAAACCCTCCATGGTCGAATGTCCTCATCATTTTTTTTTCTTTTTTTTTACATTGAAGCCCTTTATACTTTTGTGTAGTAATCATACATGGAGCAGGAGTCAAACAGCAATAGTTCATGAAATAGAAAATATATATAAACCTAAAAGGGTAATTAGAAGAAAGATGTATAAAAGAAATATGAGTATTAAGTGATAAGTGA